TTGTGTAGAATCAAAGATGCGCTAATTCTTACCCCCCAAATTCAACTTCCCATCCTGTCATTTTTTCCATCTGAAATTGTGTTTTTCTGGATACTGGCTATCAGGATTTTCCCATCCAGCATTGTTTCTTTCAGAACTATGATCAGCAATAGATAAAGTGGCATCTAAACACAGACCCAAAGGAAAGAGTGACTAATGTTCAGGACATAGCATCAGCAAGCACATAAGCCCTGAGGCAAGCCTGAGATTAGCTTGTCAGGAGGACAATGAGGAGGTAAGCTCCGCCTTTCAATACAATATAGCATACTAAAAACAGAGGAAAAGTGAGGTGCAGACCTTGATTCTTTCAATTATTTTTTAAAGATTTTATTATTTTTATTTTATGTGTATGAGTGTATTCCCTGCATGTATATAAGTGCACCCATATCATGCAATGTCCATGGAGGTCAGAAGAGAGCATGGAATTCCCTAGGAATGTTGGCCACCATGTGAGTGCTGGGAATTGAACTTGGGTCCTCTGCAAGAGCAGCCAGTGCTCTTAACTGCTGAATCATCTCTCCAGCCCAGATTCTTTCAATTATGATTATTAAATAATACAATAATTTTGGTACCTTGCTTACTAGTCTACCATAATGAAAGCAAATGAGTCTATCAACTAGCTCATGGGCCAGCTAAATGATCTTATAAATAATGTTTGTTAGAACACAACCATGCCCATTTTGTAGCATCCTGTCCATGGCTGTTTTTGCATTCTGTGAGACAGCTAACAGATATATAATATATATATTACTCAAAACCTACATTATTCATTATTTTTATAGAACAATTTTAGAGACCTTCATGAGAAAATGGAGTTATTAGAGAAAATGACAAATAAAATTAGATAAAAACACATAAAACTGTAATTGTATGTTTATTAACCTTGTTTGTCCACTGGCTTGGGGTAACAAGTATCTTCTGGTTATATCTTAGAGGTGCTTCCAGTGAAGACAATATAATGAGAGCTCCAGCCTAATAAGCTGTTTAAAAACTGATGAACTCAAATTTCGAGTAGATTGTTGGGAAATGGCTGCACTGTGCAAGCAGGAGCATGTCTGGAGGACAAAGTCACTCGGAGCATGTCCTGGGGCAATGTCTTTGTCTGGCCCCTTCCTACTATGGTTTCACTCCACTTCCTGTCCTCCATAATGTGAGCCATTCTACAATGCTTTCTCTGCCATAATGGATGGCCGCTTCTAAAATCACAAGCAAAATAAACGTTCCCCACTTAAGCTGTTTATATGAAGCATTTTGTCCCTGTGACAAGAAAGCTAAATAAAATGGACAGTTTCCTTAAAACTATAAGAGCATCACTGTCTCAAGAACCTTCAATTATTTCTCATTGACAAGAATTCATTCATCTGTTTTTTGATTGTTTTGAAAAGGAAGCCTTCACAAACTCAGTAGTTGTGGTGGTTTAAATGGGAATCTCCCCCATAGACTCCAAGTGTTTGAATACTTTGTCCCCAGTTAGCAGCTTTGCTTTGGGAACTTTAAAAGTTGTGGCCTTGCTGGAGGAAGCACATCACTTGGGGATGTACTCATTTCTAGGCTCCTCTCTCTGCTTCATGTGCCTGCTTGAAGATGTGAGTGCTAAGCCTTCTGCTCCAGCTGCCTCCTGCCATGCTGCCACACCACGATGCATTTTTATCCCTCTGGACTCTTAAAACTCAAATAAACTGTTCCTTCCGTAAATTGCCTGGACAATGGTATTTTTAGCATAGCAACAGAGAAGTGACTAATCTAGAAGTTGGTTGTTACTGTGAAGAACCTGACCATGTTGGTTTTTAGAGGAATGTAGAAGACTTGGAAGTTTGGACTAGAAAAATATTTGAATGCTGTCAGTGTAACTTAATGATTATTATCATAAGAGCCTGGAAGAGGTATTCAAATACTTCCAGAGCGGGTGGGATGGGGGAAGAGGTATAAAGATAATTATGATGTTTTGCATGAAGTGCATAAAAATTTAATTAAAAATATACATTGAATGGGGCTGGAGAGATGGCTCAGCTGTTAAGAGCACTGACTGCTCTTGCAGAGGACCCGGGTTCGATTCCCAGCACCCACATGGTGGCTACAAACCATCGTTAACTCCAGCTGCAAGGGGATCCAAAGCCCTCTTTTGACCTCCGGCATTGCACAACATGAGTGCACTCACATACATGCAGGCAATACACTCATACACATAAAATAAAAATAATAAAATATTTTAAAAATGTATACATTGAAAATAAAGAGAAAAATATATATGAACCTCATTTATTTTGGGATGTCAATGTATTGATTCTTTAATTCCCATAAGTCAATTACACAGGCTTGGATACTCTATAGTCAAGACTTTGAATACACAGAGTTGCTATTTAATGCAAGCTAAATGTGCACATCAAGAATATGGGAACTCAATAACAACCACCATCATGACTTAATAATTGAATCTGTATAAAAAATAAAATTTTTTTATGTAATGAACTCATTAAAATTATGTAAGATTTTAGGGACTGGAGAGATGGCTCAGCAGTTAAGAACACTGGTGTTCTTGCAGAAGACCCAGGTTTGAATCCCAGCACCCACACGGCAGCTAACGACTGTCACGAGCTCCAGTCCCAGGAGATACAACAGCCTCTTCTGACCTC